CTCCCTCCCCCCTCCCCTCCTGGGTGGCCAGGCCTGGGCCCACAGCTCCCCTCCACTCCTGTGCTGTGCTTCCTGTTGGCACCAAGACAACTTTCAGGTTTTCTGGACCCAGTCAGTTAGCGGAGACAGGCCCCACCCTGGCCTCCACGCAGGTTTTTCTGTAATTGGGTTTGTAGTCGTTGAGGGAGACGTGCTCCCTCTTTGGTCCCTTTCACAAAATTTCTTAAGACTTTGCTAGTGTAGGAATGTGGCTTGTTGTTTTATGATGGGGTTTTCTTCCTTAGGAGTTTTATTTATGCTTCACATGCAGTTGAGAGATCAGAGGCTCACTTTTGGAAGACCATACTAAACCCTACTAAAGGCGCCTTCCCTGGGGCTCTGTGTTGGTTCACCCCTGCACTGTTAACAGTTCCAGCGACAGATCCCAGAAGCAGAGATCAGTACTGTTTTCTGTTATCGTCCATTATTATTTTTAACGTAGAAAGCTGTCTCCACGCGGTGACACTTGAATGTGACTCTTCAACGGGTGAGCACCCTGATCAGAGGCCCCCCCCCCCCCCCCCCCCCCCCCCCGCCTGCTGTGCAGCCGCTCCCTTGTGTGTGTGGCAGCAGGAGTAAATGTTAGGACTTCCCTGGATTAAAGTCTAGAAGTAAAACTCCATCTCTGTGCTCCGGGCTTCGTGTAGGTCAGCAGAAGCACAAGTACAGTAAGTGTGTGAACAGCTCAAGGGGTAGGACCAGACAGATTTCGAGGAGGTTGGGCACGGCCCAGGGCAGAGGTCGTGCCCAGGTCACGTTGATGGTGATCTTAATGGAAGACAGGTGAGCAGAGGCTGGCAAATGTCATGGTGACTCCAGTTGCTGTCTGGTGCTTAGGGACGCATGGTTTGGTGTGGGGTTAATCAAGGTAGAAGAACGGCGATGAAAGATCCGTATTCGCTTTTCTTAAGACAAAGTACCTGTTGGTACCTGAAGCGCGTCTAGTGGTTGGCTTTGTCAGGAGGAGAAACGATGTCATGGAGAGGGCGGGGGGTGGTGTGTGAGCCTGTGGCTGGTGCAGGTGAGTGGCAGAGAATCAGAATGTTCTGTCTGATGTAAACCCCATTCTCTGTTGTTGAGATTAGGGGTCTGTTTGAATGGCTTTCCTCCATACTCATGACCCAGGCCTCAAGTAGCTGGAGTTCTTTACACGTTCCCCTCCCCCATGACCTGCTCACGTAGAAGGTCAGGAATATCGGCAGGTCTCCCACTGTCCTGAGAGAGTCCACTGTCTGACAGGTCGTGTCGATGAAACATGTAGGTGCCCTTTACATAGGGCATAGGGCTGTCCTTTTACATAGTTTACAGATACACACCTGAGCCTCAGAAAATCCGGAGCCGCCCCCCGGGAGACTGATAGTGAACTCAGCAGTCATCCTCATTTGGTCTCGTTCAGGAAGCCTTCCTGGGGTCCCTCTCAGGTGCCAGGTCCTGGGATGTCCCCGCAGGCACAGCGCCCACCCTCGTGGAGCTGGCCATCTGGGAGCCTCCGTCCAGGAAGCCTGGCGTCCATGTCACGGTGCCTGCAGGGCGCTAGGGACCCAGGCCTGGGAGCCGGTCTCGGGGCCCCGCTGGCCATGTGCGCAGAGAGGCGCCGCGAGGCGTTTGCTGATGTCCGTCTCTCCTCTGCCCCAGCACTCCATCCGCGCGCTGGCACTCAGGGTGCTGCGGGAGACCTTGAGAAGCCAGCCAGCAAGGTTTAAACACTACGCGGAGCTGACGATCATGAAGACGCTGGAAGCCCACAAAGACTCCCACAAGGAGGTGAGCCAGCCTCTGGCGCACAGCCCTGCCGCCGCGGGGTCTGAGCAGCGCTGCGGGCCCAGTGCCCAGGCGGCAGGGCTCTCTGAGCCTCATCCGGGCGGGTCTGCCCTTTTCCCTGCGGTCAGGGTGGGGATGGAGATGTGCAAGCCTCGCTCTGGGCCCTCGGCCAGGCTCCCTCACCCGCAGGGCCCCGCTCTCCTCGGAGGACTGTCACCCCACCGCCGCCCACGGGAGAGCTAGGTGAGGCCGGAGCATGCGGGCGGGCTCCCCCTACAGGCTCGAAGGACTGGAGGCGGCCCGCCCGCTCTGCGGGCTCCGGACGCGTGAGGCATCCGCACTCTCCTCGGGCTCCCGTCACGGGGCAGGGAGGGCGCGGTTCTGGGCCCGACGCGTGTGCACGCAGAGGACAGTCCGTGCATCCTCGTCCAGTTGCTTGCTGGACTGTCCCGGGGCCTGCCGCCCACAGTCCTCTGCGTATCGAGAGATGGGAGGTGGGGTGGGTGGAGCGCCCTAAAGGGAGATGGTTTCAGGGACGCCTGCCAGTGAAAGGCACTGTGGCAAACAACCGTCTAGTTCCAGGTTTGGAAAACTTAACTTGGCGAAACAGTGGGTTTGACCCCGAAGTGAGACATAAGCATGTGTCAGTTCAATCTTTTGGCTCCCGTGTGACTCTCGCGAGCACAGCCGTGGATTAAAGGAACTGTGATTAGAGCAGTTCTTCTCTTCACAGCGAGAATCAGACCCTGAATCATGGCTTTTTCCTCTGTTCAGCAGTTACGTGGCTACTGAACAGAGACCGGTCTGGCCCCCTCAGGTTCCCACCACAACTGCAGGCTCAGCGAGGTTGAGGGCGTCCCTCTGGCCGGGCATCTCTCCACCCAGCAGTCCTAGTGCCACACAGGTGCATGAATGATGGGTGTGTGTGCAAACCACTCACTCACACTTCCGGGATCCAGCTTGGTTGCCTGATGGCGACAGCACCTACTCGTGTTTGAACAAAACGCTTTCCACTTCAGATAACTCATTTGAAAAATGTGAGGACCAGGTAAGCTAACAGTAGTCACTGTAATTATTCCCAGGTGAGGAAGAAGGTCCAGGAGGTCCCATCCTTTGTCAGGTGATGCACACGTGGCAGTTCCTGGCAGAACCAAGTTGTGAACCAGGTCGTGTGTCTTTTAAGGGGCAACTGGTCTGTGCTGACTTTTTTTTTTTTTTTTTTAACCACGATAGCTTCTCCTTAATGAGAATACATGATGAAAAAAATGACATGAAATGGACGTTCTTTTACATACATACGATGTCAGTTGTTTTCAGAGGGGAGGACATATTGAGACTGTGACACTGAGGTGAAACAAAGCCACCTGCATGGTGTGGCGGTCACTAGCCATCCCCTTGGCAGACGTCTGTCTTTACAGTGGCCATCCTGATCGTAACCTCCAGGATTTGGACGGTGGACCCGGAGAAGTATACGTTACCAGAAGTTGCTCTTTACTGTTTACGTGAGAGATCCTGTTGTTTTCCCCTGCAAAGCGAGAGACTGAGGAGAGAACGTTCTTCACTTTGAAGTCCTTTAGGTTGCGTAAGGGACACAAGCAGAAAACGCCTGCTGCTTAAAGCAAACGTAGCAGCACTCAGTTGCCGTGGAATTCTTGTAACCCAAGGGTCTCCACGCAGCTGTCACTGATTTCCTGATAAGCTGGTTGAGGAAACACTGTGTTCTGAAATGAGTGCGGTTACTGGCAGGCCTCCCCTGCTTTGCATGCTTTCAGACTCACCTTGACTTGGTGCCCTTGTCGTTTTCCTTATGAAACTTCACGCTGTCACTTTGCCCGAAGCTTCTAACTTGGGCACCTGTATGTTTTGGTGTTAGGTATCGTTTTCGTTTTTGTTTTTCTTTTCCTTTAAAACTCTTCCACGTGATCTTTCTCTGGCTTTGCCAATCCGCGTTTGTTTTTAGGCCGGATAGTTAGACGCACAGGGTCTGTGTGGTAGCCGTTGTGCTGGCATATCCCACACAGTATGTCTCTGGTTGCTACGTTTTCTCGTCTGCACATTCAAACATCATTCCCACATTTATTGACTGGAAAGGAGCCGAAGTGTTTCTAGACCCGGTTACTAGTCAGACAGGGGCCAGTCTCTCTTCCCGTCTAAATTGGCATTCCCAAAGTGTGCTCCTCCCGGCGACAGCTCTGGGCACCTCCTTCTCGTTACAGCTAGTTGGTTTTGTGTCCACAGGCAAAACCCGGGCTTTGGCAGATGAAGGAGTTGGACCGGCAGGTGGACACAGAGCGGCTGTGAGAGCGCTTGTCACCAGACATGTCTTTCCTTGGCCGCTGTGGCCGGGGCCCCGCCAGCGTGCGCACTGTAGTTCTGGCCGCGGGGCTGTAGCAATGAAGCACTTCTTGAAATGCAGTTTCTATAAGTTGAAAGGTGTCATAAGGCCCCTAGGGAAGATGCATAAAGCAGGGCTGAGGATAAGATGGCTTGTTTGTCACCGATAAGCCAGGGACTGTGTTCCCAGGGTCTTTAGCAGGAGCTATGAGTGCAAGACACTTTTGTCACACGCTGAAACGTGCGGGTGCTAAATCTGTCTCAGGCATCGTTCATCATAAGCTAACGGAGATGTTTTACAATAAGCAAGATAGAGGATTCGGGTGCCGGTTTAAAGTTCTTATTTTCAAAGTTGGTATTGGGAATTCCCTGGTGGTCCAGTGGTTCGGACTTAGCGCTTTCACTGCCGAGGGCCTGGGTTCGATCCCTGGTCGGGGAACTAAGATCCCATAAACCTCGCAGCGTGGCCCAAAAAGTAATTAAATAAATAATTAAAAGTTGGTGTTTGTCCGGTTAGACAGTTTTCATATTTCCTATTTGAATAAGTAAATCTCTTTCATTGTCTAGCTCCTTATTTTTATCTTTTTAGTAAATAAAATTTGCTTTTGAGTTTCAGTAGCTCATTAATGAAGTTACTATGGTATACCGTAGTGTTAGCTTTTAGCAAACATCCGAAGGGGCGAAGGGCTTGATAGTGACCTTTTAAAATCTTACGCCCCCTTTTCTGTTTTTCAAGAAACAACTCCATTAATGTTAACACTTTTTATCTGAGAACTTGAAATCCGTTTGTTGGGGCTGGTACAGAACCTCTCCTTCAATGATTATGAGAAGATTTAGGGCTAAGAAGAGCACTGATACTTTGCATGAGATTCTGGGGTCAGTGGTAGCGTGAATCTAGAGGGGGAAAGCCTGGTTTTCGGTCCAGCATCCGACCTCCAGCCCAGCTGTCGGTTTGATCCCTTCTGTCTAAGCCTGTGTAGCGTGGCCGCCTCGAGAATCAGACACGGGACATGGAAGCATGCTTCTAACACCGTCAGGCACTGTACCAGTATTGCTACGTAAAGCCGTCTTCAGACATCCGTACCGTCTCAGAGGCACTCGTTTCAGTAGCTGCTGCTCCCAGGCACTGCGGCTTACACGCGGTACCCAGAGTGCTGGGGTCCTTGCTCGCCATTCTGTTTAAACTTGAGAGGAACACCAACTCTGTTTCTTTGAAGATGTTCTATACTTGAGACTTTTTGCTGACCTCGGCCATGTTAATGAATATTCCATTACATTTTCCTGTTAAAAAGAGGAAAATATCAGCTTCGTTTTATGTCACTCCAGGAGGTCACCAGACATTTCTTGCCCCACGGCAGCCTTGGTGTTTAAGGCATCAGAATCCAGCCTCAGGTGGTTTGGCTTGTTTGGGGAAGTTTGAGTCTCAGGTAAATACGAAACAACCACTGTTACGTCTCCCGGGGTTTTATTTTGAAATCATTTCTAATTAGTTTTATGATTGCAAGGAATTAAAAAAGCAAAGCCAGACTAAATTTATTTTTACAATAGAACTTTTCGGGGACCTCTTGGCAAATATCACAGCCTGAGCAAAGCAGCGGCGTGTCAGAGAGAAAGCACTTTAGCAAGCTGACGTTGTGCTTCAAATACCAATTAGAATCACTCTCTGACCATGGCTCACCCAGGCCCCCCCGCATAGGGAGTGGCCCTGAGAAGCCTCTCGGGGCAGCGGCCGTGTGTCAGTGGGTTCTGAAGAACAGTGCATTGTGTGAGCGTGGAAAGATTATTTCACCTCTCTGGACCTTGGGTTTCTAATCTGTTAGCCCAGGGAGTGGACTGCATGCTTATCTGTGTGTCAGCCGGCCTCAGGATAATGGAGGAGGCTGCTGAGTAACAAACCTCAACCTTTCTAGATTCTAAGTCTCCAGTCTTCTTTGGGCCCAGTCTTGGGATATAGCCAGAGGCCCTATTTCCTTTGTAACCTTCAGCCTTTTAACAAAAAGACAAAACCAGAGACCTGTATAGTCGTTTAAAAGGTCAAAGTTGCTGAGCCAGACAGTCTGACACTCGTAGCACAAACTGGTAAATGTCCCATTATTGCGCAGGTCGCAGGGTGGTGCTCAGACCTAAAGGAACTTATACGGCTTAGGTGACGTAAGAGCACAGGAATCCACGTGGGGTCCATAGAGAAGTGTGCTGGGAGTCTGGGGCAGTTCGGGAGGATGCTGGCCGTGAGCCAAGCAGCGAAGCCCAGGGCCGTGGGCCGGGAGGACACAGCTGGGCTGGACCGGCTGGACCCACCCCGCCACAAGTGGAGGTCCCATCGCCCACCCTGCCGGGTGGTTGGGACATGCCAAGCATGGTGTCCAGTCCTGAGTGGTGGCGGCCGCTATCCCACGGTTACTCAGGGTGAGGGGACACGGCCCCTCCTCTCTGATGGGCCCAGCCTCCTAAGACCAGACGTGACACCTGCCCTTTAGCTCCCGTAGCCTCAGAGCGTCTTACTAAGAGAGGAAACCCTGTCTGCAGAAAGCAGTCGGGGGGCCCTTGTTTAATGTCAGAACTCTGGAGTCTGGAAACTTGGGTCCTCATCCTACTTTGGCCAGTCACGTGGCTGGGGACGGGACGCAGCTCTGGACGCCGGAAGTGCTGGCACCCGGGGTGACCTGGGA